AAATTAAGTAAATATATTTTTTTTTTTATTAAAATAATCTAATAAATATTTAAGAAAAACTATATAATATAATAATTTTAAGATTGTTTTAATATCTTTTAATCTAATTTTCTTTATAACGTTTTCTTAATTAATTTATTTAATTAACACATTATTCTTAATTTCGTTGTTCTAAATTTTTTTTTTTTAAATGAAATTTACTCATGAGTAATTTATTTAGCCAATTATAAATATTTTTTACTATTAAAAAGATAAATAATAATTTTTTATATCCTAAACTATTTATATTACCATTCTTTAAATACTTTACTCAGATATGGTTTGTCCAAAATTAGATGACTAAATGCACTTTATTGATGATTTTTATGAATATTCTATACATAACTGATGGTGCTTTATCTTCTTTTTCTAACTTTAAAAAGTAGCTAGAAATAAATTCTTACTTTTTTGTAAGGTATCGGTTATGTTAGCAGTATTTTTTTTTACATTCAGGGCTAATTTTAAGGGATAAACTTGATTCTAAAAATTTAATAAGTTAAAACTAATATAGGTGTGGGAGAGATATTTTTACAAAAGAAAAAAAAAAATGATTGATATAAGTATTTTAATGCGTTTGGAAGTTTTATGTTTAATATGTCAATTATAGTGCGATAATTTTTTTAAAAAATCATATAATTAAGGAAAATCTAGGTTATATAGGAATTTGCATTAGTATATGTGGTACTTTTTTAGGTATTTTAATTATTATATATATATATATATATATATTTATATATATAAATAAATATATATATATATATATATATATTTATATATTTATATATATATATAGATAATATATATGAATATAAATGCCTTCTTATGATGATTATTTATGTTTTTTTACCATAATATTTTATTTTTGCCATTTTATCTAATTGGGTTTAGTTTATACAAGTGGATTAATTTTTATTATTTACTTTTTTGTAGAAATTGAATTTTAGTATTTTATACTAATAGCTAATTAGTCTTTTTAAAGAAGGTTTTTTACTTATCAAGAAGTGATATTTTTTTTAATTAATATAAATTTATTAGAAAAAATAATAGTAAATGAATTTGGGAAATTAGAAATAGGATGAATAGAAGAAAATATTTCGTTGTTAATCGGAAAAAAGCAAATAATATAAGATAAATATTTTACTTATTTTTATGAAAAATAGTGGATTTATTAATATTTATTATAAATTATAAAGTATTATATATCTTTCTTATTTTAAAGTTGTTGATGGTTAAATTAGTTTAAAGTTATTTATTTTATATATATTTGAAAATATATATATATATATATATATATATATATATATATATTATGTTATTTTTCAGTTTATAAAACTATTTCGATATAAAAAAAAAAATATCTAATTATTTTTTTTAAAATATTATGTTATTTTACTTTCATATAGTCGTTATTTTAAAAATCTAGGAATTAAATAAATATAATAATTGGGAATTTTTTGAAATATTATAAATTTTTTTGTTATATTATAAAAATAAAATAGATTAGAATTGAAATATCATATTATTTATAATTTTTTAAAAAATTTAAATAAACTAAAAAATATAATATAAATATTTTTTAGTAATAAAACTTTCAAAACTCTAAACTTGTTATTATTATATTAATAATATTTATTTAAAATAAAATTAATATATATTTAATATTTTTATTTTAATTATATATAGAAAAGTTTATTAATTTAAATTTTTAAATATAATTATTTATAATGATATTAAAAGCTTGATTTGATTCAATGAATACATTGGCTAATTTGAATTTATTAAAAATATTTTAACATTTAAATACTAAAAAATATAAATATAATTATAGAAAATAAATTATATAAATATATATATATATAAAAAATAGTCGTTTTTTAAATAAATAAAAAATATATTTATTATTAATAATTATAAAATATATTATATAATTATATATTAAAGATTATATATAATATAAAATATTACATATATTAATATTTAATTTTTTCCTTTTTTTATATTTTATATTTTATAAAATAGTTAATTTATAACGAAATATAATATTTTTTTATCATTTTAAAAATGATAATTCAATTAAAAATATTAATTTTTTATTAATATTTTATATGATTAATTCTATATTATTATATATTTTTAAAAAAAAAATATAATAATAATTAGATAAGCAAAAAATTAAAAAATATATAATTTTAATATATGAAAACTATATTTAATCCATAAAAAATAAAGGATTATCAAAGGAAGATATAAACTTTGCTAGTAATAAAAAATTATTAATTGATGATTTTATATAAATATATAATTTAAAGCTAAATAAAAATACAAATAATTATATCGTCATTAATATTATATTTTAAATTAATTATAGATTCTTGCTTAAATGGAAAAAATAAATATATATTCGGCTTAAAATTGAAATAAAATCTCCTTTAATTATTATTTATTAAAGATTTTAATTTAGAACAATTTTTAACAAGCGAAAAAATAACAAATTAAAATAACGACTGTATAAGTAATAATGATTCCTAAAAATCTTCAATATCTACACAATCTTAAAATTCATAAACATCGTCTCATAACTATATTTCTTTTGAAGATTTATAATATAAATATTTAAATGATTTAAAATAATAGCTTAAAAGTAAAAAAAAAAAATATTTCTTTATATAAATATAACTAAAAAAATAGATTGTATAGTTAAAAAAAAATTCCGATTAAATTAAAAGATGTTTCTGGAAACAATTACGCTAAAAAATGTATTCAAGAAAGTATTATTTTACCAAATATATACCCTAATTTATTTTCAAATGGAAAACCAAAGCCATGGAATAAAATATTATTATATGGACCTCCTGGAGTTGGAAAAACAATGATTTGTTAGGCTATTTGTAATGAAACATAAGCTACTCCTATATGGGTATCATTAACTGATATTACATCAAAATTTATAGGAGAATCAGAAAAGTGTCAAAAAAAAAAAAAATTAAAATTATATAATATATATATATATATATATAAATATAAATATAAATATAAATATAAATATAAATATATATATATACATATATATATATATATATAAATATTTTAAAAGTATATTTTTTTTTAGTTATTTTTCAATAATATATTTTTTTATTTAGATTATTAAAAATTTTGTTTGATTTAGCTAAAGAAAATGCTCCTAGTGTTTTAATTTTTGATGAAATGGACTCTATTGGTAGAAAAAGAAACGGGAGTGAAACTGAAACTGAAAGAAGAATAAAAACTTAGTATTTGAAATAATTAGATGGTTTTTTTTTTCTATATAGATTATAATTAATTTTTGAATTTAACCAAAAAATATCATTTTTTAAGTTTAAAAAATTGATTTTAGATTCTTTTTTTTTTAAATATAAATTTTTATAATTTATTAAGATAAATAATATTTATAAAAATATATATAAATTTATATATATATATATTTATATATTTTATTTATAATTATATAGAAATAGATAATATTCCAGAATAAATATATGTAATAGCCACTACTAATATGCCTTGGGAATTAGATGTAGCAGTAATAAGAAGATTTTAAAGAAAAATATTATTACCTTTACCTAAAAATGATGATAGATTACTTATTTTTAAAAACTTTTTAGGATAAAAAAATCATGATATTAAAGAAAATGAATATTAATGTTTAGCCGAATTAACTGAAGGTTATAGTGGCTCTGATATAACAACTATTATAAACGAAGCATTTATGAGACCTATATATGAATTATAATTGTCTTAATATTTTAAAAAAATAAAGAAAATGTGTTTTTAATATATAATGATAAAACAAAAAAATTAACTTTTATTTTTTTGTTTATATAGTCATGTTGAAAATGATATAAATAATTTTTTTTATGTTTCATGTAATTAAAATGATAAAGGTGCGGAATAAAAATAACTTTCGGATATAAATCCTGTTTAAATTATCTTAAGAAATGTTTAAATTGTAAGTTTTAAGTTTTTAAAATATTTTTTATTTTATTTTATTATTAGAAAGATTTAAAAGAAAGTATTAAAAATTGTAAGCCGAGTGTAAGTAAAAGTTTTCTATAATTATACAATAAATTTTTATTGAAATATGGACATATTGATTAAAAAGAAGATATGTATAAAGAAAGTTCACATTATAAGAATTCTATGTATGTTTGATAAAATGTAAAAAGATTTTTTTTTTTCTTCCTTTATTTATAAAATAAAAATAAGTTTTATTTGTTATTAAAAATAAAAATATTTAAATATATAAAATAAAAATATATTTAAATATATAAATATATATATATATATATATAATATATTTATTTTTTTACATCTATAAATATATTTATATCTTTTGCTATTTTATTTTATTTATATTATTATCTTTTTTATTTTATTTTTTTTAAATGTTTCTTAATTTAAAATAAATTATATGATTGTATAATTATAAGATATATAAAAATTTTATATTTTAATATTTATATATAAAAAAAATATATTATAATATTAAAAAAATTAATAATTATTTAATGTAAAAATAAAATAATTTTATTTTTATTTATATAATAATTTTATTTTAGAAAATACTAAGTTTAATACTAACATTTAAATTTAAATTTTATTTAATTAGTAAAATTTTTTTTCATTCTCTAACATCACCATCCCATTCATCGTAGTATTAAAACTTATGGAGTACTTTTTATAAAATTAAATTAAAAAATATTTTCAAATTATATTTATTTAATTTATATTACCATCTTATCCACATATAAATGTGTATAATGGAACTCCAACAGCAATCGGATAAAATAAGATATTCTTGGGTGCTAAAAAAACCATAGGAAGTCCTACAAAGGCAGTTTTAAAATTCCAGAAAATTCTTCTTATCATTAATTTTAATTTTAATTTTAATATATCTAATATTTTTAAAATAATTAATTTTTTGTTTTGAAAAAAAAATTATATATATTCCAATATTTTTTTAATTTATAAAAATATTTTAATTTTAATAATAATTAAAAAATAAAAAATTAATAAAATAAATTAATTAGAAAATAATATATATATATAACTTAATATTTTAAAAATATATTAATATATATATATTTATTTATATTATATATTATAAATATTAATATATATATATTAATATATATATATAATATTTATATTTATATATGTATATATATATTTTATATATTAATAATAATTTATCATGAAAAAAAATAATGACTCTTTATAACATCTTCTAAATTTAATTCTCCCTTTTTAATAATTTTTATATTTTAATATTAATTTTTTTTATTTTATAAATTAAAATATTTATTACTCTTTTAGGAATTTCTGGAAAATCTATAGTTGGGAATCTTCTTTGAAATGAATTTCTTAAATCTTCCAATAAGGGTTAAGAATGTAATTTTACAAACTATTTTAAAATTTTTATAAAAAATTTAAATAAAAGTAATTACTTATTTTCTTAAAACATCATGCAAAATTTCTACATCAGCTGCATGAGTCCAATAACTATCATGCACTGCTGCAAAATATATACCTAACTTGTTACATTCTATAGCCGTATACATAAGATGTGTTGAATCTAACGAATGTATATAATTTGGTGGGAAAGCTGATCTTTATTTTTACTTATTAATTGGTAATTCATCATGATTAGCCTCAATAGTAATTTTTTAAATAACAGTATTTATAACATTCAAAGTACTTTAATTCCTATAAGGCTAAACAACTGGCAATCCCATATCAGTGATCCAGCTAACCGGATTTCCAGTCGCTGATATAAGCGCTGCGCAACTAATTAGCCATTTTTTAATATAATGCGCTTAAGTAAAGAGATTTTTGATTTATAATAAAGTAACAGTAGCTAAATAATACGAAGCCTTATAATTATCTTCCTCATTCATAAAATCCCTGTCTTTTAATTACCTTAAAATCTACTATCTAGCTCCTACAAAGGTGACCCCGTATACACTTGTCATGACTGTTTATTTAACTATTTTCCTTTTTATTTATCCTTGTAATTTTTTGGCAATTTCATAATTTTCACTTAGCTCATTTTTGCAGTCTTCGTCAATTTTCTGTTCTACCATTGAGGCTACGTGACTATATAAATCTCCTGGCTTTATACTATCTCTTAAGTTTACCTATTCTGCTCCGTATTTATCTCTTCCTATAGCCGCATAGTGTTAAAGTCCGTTACATGAACCGTCCATATGGACATGTAAATGTGAAATATGGTCTTCTGGATTTTCAAGCTATAAGGCTTCTGAAACCTCAAAAATAGCAGAAAGTGCCTACCAGCAATCTTCTACTTGGAGCCATTCTCGGTTTTTAATAGGATCACTAGCCCATCGTTTTATATTTTCGAACTGGCTTTCTGTATAGGCAACCCTTTGGTCAAAAGAGAGCTTATCAACACCCAAAAGATTCGATGTGTGTACTTTTAGCCAGTACCAGCCTGTTTTTCCGATTCTTTTGCTTTCGGAAAACTCCAAAAGGCCTCTGCATCTGTCAGCACCTATATGGTTTAAATGAGGAGGTATTGGATATAATCTACCCCTAAAATCTACGTTATGAGGGAAATAAATCCTATCTAAATTTTAAAAAGCTCTAGCGACTTTGAGTTTTAAAAGAAAATCACTTCTATTAGAATGTATATCTCTTTATTATTATATTTTTCGCATTAATTTGGCTTTTTCTTTATAGTCTTTACACTCATCTACTTAATATTAATGAATATAATTTGTATAATCGTAATATTTTTTCGGAATTTCTCCTATATCACCTCCTTCTTCCCATATTTTTTCCATTACATTTAAAACCCTTTTATTTATTCTCCAGGGTGTCTTCCCGATTATATTCAGAATTTCATATACTTTCGATAAGTCAGTATTAAAAAGGGACTTTTCTTATAATTAAGAATCCTCGAATCTCATCAGATGAGTAGGTCTTAAATAATAACCACCCATCTCATAGTCTTGCCATTTAGCAGGGGGATATATCATAGGCAAAGATCTATCTAAATGCATAAATAAGGAGTCTGTTTTATCCGTTTCTTAGTTCATAGAGTGTAAAAAATACTGGTTTACGTTAATTACTCCTACAAAACCTTAGTTTCTTTTAGATTTTATATATGAGGGGACTAGGAGGCTTACCCAGAAGTTATCTTCGTTTCGTATTTTGATACATTCTTTCATTACATAGACTAATAATGAGCCTATTTTATATTGAGTTTCTTTTGGGATGCCTAATTGTTCATAGTTTATTTGTATTTTATTGCTTTTATTTGTGTAGATATTATTTAAAAGTTAATTTTGGTTTTCTGTTTTCATTTATTAAACAAGTTCATCTAAGTCTTTTTTTTCTTTCTCCTTTTTCAAAGCTTCTTCTTATTAAAATATATATTAAACATTAACGGATTTGCCAATCTACGCAAAAAGAAGTTTAGAAACAATCACTCGGTCTTTTTAATCTAGTCTTTCCTTTTTTTCCTTCTCAGAAAGTTTCAATATACATTTCATTAATTCAGTTAGGGAAATAACAGCAAGTTTTTCAGCCTCTATTTAGGCCAAAAACTATGCGTAGTATTTCCTTTCGCCTTTCAAAGTTCCCAAACGGCATTATTATTGTTCTTCTCGAATTACTTTACATAGATTAGGAAACCATTAGACTATATGTTATTTCGCAAAACCCATATTTACATTCAAACCGAAATTCGATAAACTCTCGTATACTTAGAAAAATTTATTTACGGCTTAGTCTTGTGAAGATTGTTCTAGAAGAAGTTACCTTTCGTAAAGATTTCGAGTATTTTCTTTCTCAGAGTATTTTATACCGTAGTAGGGAAGACCAAAATGCTCAGTAGGGAGAGATTGAAATAACTTGGAGTACATTTCCTCTATAATATTGCCGAATACCTCATTTTGGCTATCTATAATGTTATTTTATTCTATTTAAAAATATTAAAATATATATATAGTTTATAAAAAAACCTAGTTTATTTAATATTTCTGGAAATATTTTGCAAATGTTTTCAATTAGTTTTGGAGTTAAATCGCCCGAGAGAAATCCTTTGTTTGATTTGTCGATTATTTCTATTAGGATTTTGAGGTTTTTGAAAATATTTATAGCTTTTTCGACTCTTTTGAAATAATTTGAGTTTTATTCATCTTCTTTTTCTTAAGTTTATTTATTTCCGATTTACATATTTTTTAATTATTGAGTAATTAAAGGGACTATTTAATTTGGTCTTAATAAAAATTCATTAAAAAAAATTACACAGCATTCTTCTAATAATTCACCTTCTAATTAATTAAGGTATTTTGCGGCTTTTAAACCTTCTTATAAATATTCTTTTTTTATATGACTATATTTTAAAAGATTTAATTCATTTTTTAATTAAAATTTTTCAAATTCGCTTTTTTATTAAAATATTGTATAGTTCTATTATTAATTTTATTATTAAATAGGTTATTGATTAAATTATTAATTTTGCTATTGTGTTTGTTAAAATTATACAAATTAACTTTCGTTTTATAATGAATTATATTTCTATTTTAGGGTAAATATGTTTAAATTATATATGTTATTAAATATAAGCTTTTTAATTATCTTTCTTGTTAACATTTTTTTTTTATATTTTTTTTTTTAATTTTTTTTATAATTAAAAGTATTTTAATCTTTTTATATTTATACTTGTTTAAGATATCTAGAATTTAAAAAAAGATTTTTAAAAAATAATTTAATTTATTTAAAAAAAAAAAAAATATATAAACAATTAAAAAAAGAAAAATATTATATATAATAAATAAATTAATAAAAAAATATTATTTTTTTATAAATATAATATATATTATACATAAATAAAAAAAATATTTTTTTTTAAATAAAAAGATAATAAAAAAAGATATTAATAAATTGCATTAAATTAAAAATAATTATTATGTATATAAATATATATAAAATATTTAAATATATATATAAATATTTATATATATTTATATATATTTTATATAAATATTTATATTTTCTTATTATTATTTTATCTTTATCCTATTAATATATTATTTATATTTTCTTTATTCATTATTTTTTATAATACTACTATTATATTTTTAATAATTTTTTTTTTTTCTTTATTCAATAAATAAAATATATTCATAATGTTTATTCTTAAATCATATTTTTTTTTAATTATTTATTTTAATACAAATTTATCGCTTTTTTTTTTACTTATTTGATAACTTATCATTATTTAAATATAATTTTTTTTATCTTCTTATTTTTTTAAAACTTATATATATTTTTTTTTCCTAATAAAATATATTGCTTATCTTATATTAATTAGTTATGAATTACTTCCTACCAGTTTTTAGTCCTCTATTTATTTATTTTATAATATTTTTAAGTTATTATATTGCAGATAAACCTATAATTGGGTTTGCTAATGTAATCTATATAATAATTTATATATAAATATAAATGAATTACACACATATTTACATAGACACAATTTATTTTAATATAATTAACTTAAAATCTAAGTTAATAAAAATTTATAATTTTAAAATTATTAAAAAAATTAAGTTTATTGTTTTAAATCCTAAAATTTTTAGATATTAGAAGTTATTATATTATATATCGGAAAAAGAATAAATTTAGTATATAAATATATATATATATATATATATATATAAAGATATGAAAAAAACTCTTTTAAATAAAAAGTTTAATATTTTAATGAATAATAACAGAGAAGAAACAATTTTAATTAAAAAATTGATGTTTTACTATAATATTAAAATATATTTGCATATTTATGAATAAATACAAGCTTTTATATTTTATTATAAAAAAATTAATTAATAATAAAAAACATATAAATTAAGATATTTTTTTTTGCAAAATTAATTTTATTTTATATTTTAGTTAAATACTGAAATTATTTAAAAAAATAATATTAATTTTAAATAATTATATTATATAAGAGTAAAAACATTTTAATATTAAAAATGTTAAGATATATAGATATTGTTAAAAAAAAAAAAAAAATTAAAAATGATTAATTATTAATAAATATTAATTTATATAAATTATTTTTAAATATGTTAATAAACATTATAATATACATTTATATATATATATATTTATATATTAATTTATTATATATTTTTTATTTTTTCTGAACTTTATTCATTTTTTATAATTTATTTAATAATTAATATAATTAAATTTATTTATTATAATCTTTTTAATTTTTTTCATTTATTTAATTATATATTAATAAAAAATTATAGAAATTAAAATATTATTATATAAGTTATAGATAACTATATTATAAAAATATTAATATTTGTTCTTTTAATAATTAATTATTATTGTTGTATTTTATTATCTTATTTTCTTATTATTAATTTGTATTTTTAATTAAAAAAATAAATAAATTATTAAATAATAAATTAATTATTTATTATAATATATTAAAATTAATACATTTATTATTAAAATATAATTTAATATTTTTTTTAATATAAATATATTTTTATTCATTTGTAATTTAATTGATATTTAAATGTAATATTGACATTGGTATTTAACAAATATCATTAAAAAGATAATATCATAATTATTTAACAAATATTTTTATATAAAATAAATAAATATTAAATAATATTTAAAAAAAAAAAAAAAAAATTAATGTTTTAATATTTTTTATTTATAAATATATTTTATATTAAATTATAGAATATAAAAATAGAATATAAAAATAGAATATCAATTTTTTTATTAATTTTTAATGTAAACAATGAAGATAAATTTATAAATTTAAAATAGAATTTAAAAACGTATTTTTAAAATAATTATATATTTTTTCATAAATAAAATTTAATTTTTTTTATTTTAAAATTAAAAATTATTATTTCAATTTTAATTTTTTTTAAAAAATTATATTTTTTTAATTTAATAAAATTAAAAATAATTAAAAATTGTTTTTATTATATATAAAATATATATATGTAAAAAAATAAAAAATATTAATAATTGAAATATATTATTTTTTTATATATAGAAAAATTAAATATTAAATTAACATTCTATTATTAAGAAATATAATATATATAATTTTATAATATATCTTAATTTATATTTATTAAATAAAAAATGTATTTCTTATTAATAATAATAATAGTTATTTTTTAAATTAAATTTTCATAACAAATTCTATGTACTAAATTTATAAATAATTCACTATACATGCTGAATAAATTATAAAATGATATAGATTATAGCTATATTGATAAATAAGGAACTATATATTGGAATATCTGTAAAAAATTATAAAAAGAACATTAATGTGGAAATAATGATACTTATGCTTCATTTTATTTCTAATAAAATACTTCTCCTACAAATTGCTTGTATTTAACAGGAAATTAAAGTTTTACAAGTTACATTATTTAAGAATTAAGTATATTTTTGTTAAGGAAAAAATAAAATATATATAATATATTTAAATATATATATATATATATAAATATATATATATATATATATATTTTTATATATATTTTATATTATAATTTAAAATATTTTTATAATTTTATAGATAATGACAAAGGAATTTCAATTTAATTTACCGGGGGTTAGCATTATTAAAAAGATATAGAATAAAACTTTTTACTTGAAATAATTTGCAATTAAAATGTATAAACCTATAGTTTCTAATCTTTTTAAATTATAGATAATAATTATTTATTATAAATTCATTCATAATATGGATGTAAGTAATTAAAAATAAATTAATTTTGGTTGTTTTTTTAAGAAAATAAATGGGCTGCTTTTATTTTATTCGTTTTTTCAGGATTTTTTTAAATTTTTTGGTTTAAAATTTATAAAAATTACATTGTATTTATCAGGATTTATATTTGGATCTTTAATTACATTTGTAAATTTAATATTTTTTAAATTTTTAAATTAAAAATAAGTATATTTTCGAATAATTCATTTATTAAAAAGATTAGTCTAATTATGAATTTTATATAACTATATTTGTTTCTTTAGGAGTAGGAATTATTTGCGGTGTAATAACTAATAAATGTATTAAGTTTGGATTTTTCATTATAGGAACTACTGGAGGAATGTTTTTAGCTTTAATAATTTTAATGCTTTAAATATTATTGAAAATACAAAGGTTATTTTATGAGTTATATATTAAAATTTATATATTATATAAATATAATATAATATAAAACTAAATATATTATATATATATATATATATATTTATATATATATTTTCATATATTATAAAAGCTAATTTTATGGGTTTAATAGTTAGTTTTTGCAATTATTTGTGGATTTTTAGCTGTTTGTATAAAAGAGTAATTAAAAATTCTAAAAATAATTTATTTATATTTTTTATAGTCATGTTTTGATTTATTCTAGCTCTTTAATTGGAAGTTATTTAATTGCAAGAGCAATATCACTTTATATTGGATACTTTCCAAATGAGTATACTATTAGTGAATAAATTAAAGTTGGAAATTATAAATTTGTAAAAATAAAAAAATTATATTTTTGTTTTGTTTAAATAAAAATATATTTTTATATAAAAAAGCCATGGTAATATTATATTTATTTAGTTGGGATAATTTTTTTAATGATTTTAGGTATTTTTAACTAGTATTAATAGAAAAATAAAAAATAAAGTCTAAGTTATTATAGGTAAATGAATTGAGAATATAATTAAACACTTAATAATTTTTAGATATAAAATATAAAATAGATAAAAATATTAAAAACAAAATTACAAATTTTCATTTAATATTTATTTTTTAATATTAAACTGTTTTAATAAAAAAATATCTAATTTATAAATATTTTTAAAAACATTAATTTTTGTTTTGTTTTTATTATATTATTTTTTTTTTTAAAAAAAAAAAAATATAATAAATAACTTAGATAAATAAAATAAAATAAAAAAATAAATATCTTAAATATATATTATTCAATGAAAAATAATAATAATATAATTATCATTATTAATTTTTTTTTTTTTTTAAAATAAATATTTTTTTTATTTTTTTAAAAAAAATAAAAATAAAATTACATTAAAATTATAATTTTTATAAGTTATTGAAATAAATATAACTATATATATATATAATTTGTCTTAAATTATTATTTTTTTATATCATTATTATCTTTGTGAATCTTACCAATTAATTTCTTCCATTTCATTTTGTTCGTATATTTTTTCTAAATTTATTTTATCAATTTAATATTGATTTTTTATATAATATTCTTCTTATATATATTCTTCATCAACATCATTTATTTCAGAACTATTTTAAATATCGTTTTAAATATTATTATTATCTGCACAATTATCAATATTATTAATGTCATCGATTTAATTATTGCTTTAATTTATTTCACTTGATCCATTTCTTCTTTCTAATAAAGGCTCTTCGTATTCGTTTTCATCTAAATTTTATATTTTTATAAATCTAATTTTAAATTTAATTTATTTTTATTTTAGTTATCGTAATCTTCTTAT